TAAAGATCATTGGCAAAGAATACGGTATTATTTGATACCTGGATCGCTTACTTGCATAAGAGTACATTTTTCAGCTTTTTCAGAGTGGAGGGAATTTATGGAGGAATCTAATGTATCGAAATTATGGCCAAAGTCTTGAATAGGTATTCTCCCCAGAGTTTAGTGCACGGCATACCAGTAACGCAGGAGTTCTTACATCCCCTGGCATAAAGTATATTTATGGAGTACGCTAATGAAATCATTTTTATCGGGCGTGCGCGTCTTATCACGCTCGGGCATAAACACTCCTACCGTTCCACCCTGTCCCCGGAAATCCAGGCAAAGCTCGGCGTGTAAACGGAGTTCGCGTTGTTCACCGCCGAGAGGTATAAAAATGCCCCTGCATTGTTTCCGCGAGAGGATCCCATGCATAACTTAGGCGCCTGTGCAGGTGTAAAAGGAATATCCGTAGGTATAGATTAAGGTGGCAGCCCGGACGAAGAAGAAGCCGAAGATGCCGGCGAACGGTGTGGGTAAGGCTAACACAAAGGCGCAAGTTTCGCCAAGTAATCGTACCCATTAATAACGCCAGTGATCCTCCTTCTTCCTCTCTCTCTTTCTCTCGTCCAGCTGGACACTTCTCCGATCTTCGCAGTCCTCCGTAATCCGTTTCGCTCAAACTTCCTTTCGGGTCCTCTTCATCTCGCGGACCTCGAAACTCCGGATAAGACTCGTCGGCGTAATTAAGTTACTCGTATTAAGAATTCCTCCTTTCAGGAAATATTCTAGCAGGTATGGAGAAAATAAAGTAGGAATTTCCGTCGGTCGGAAAAATGCACTCCCAGCAAAAACATTGTTAGGGTAAACGGAGACAATAAACTTGTCTGCGACAATGATTCTTCACGTTGGGGATGGATCACTGGGAAATGAAAAGTTCCTCCCTAAAACCCGCCATCAAAAATATCTAACTCGTGTTAAAAGCACTTTGTAAATAGAAATGGTACAAAATAATGTAAAAAGTATACAATTTGTAATGTTAGAACACCTTTTCCAGCGATATTCAACGTCGGGGATGAATCAGGTGTTCAGAATCTCCTGATGAACATTCCGGATAAGATACGTCGGCGATATTAGCTTACTCGAATTAAAAATGCCCCTTTCAAATATTACACTTGCAGCGCTGTACCAACATCATCAAGTGGAATTATTCATTAGAGACAAATTAAAAATATTTAGAAGCGCTTCACCATTTCGTAGACATTCCTTCTTCGTGAATAAATGACGTATTCGATGATATATCCATTGCTTCGGCAAAAGTGAACGCCATGCAAATGCGGATCGAAGTCCAATTTCCTTAGGTTTAGAGAAGGTCCAGCATCTGTAATGGATTTTCGATTTTATTCCTCGCTTATACGCAGTCGAACGACCACTTTCGCGGACAATATCCTCGATAAATTGATCCTTCGGGTATCGTTTAGTTATCGCGTTCGGAAAAGGTGGCGGCCGGCTCTCCTTGATTTTCCGCTCGGCGGAGGGGAAGAGCGTCCATCTCTGGCGCGAGTCGGCGTTCCTCTCGATCGCGCCCGGGCAAATCCCTCGATTCAATCTTTATTTATTTCTCCCGGACGCTGTCCAAATCCCCAGTTTCACCCTCGACGTGACGCTGACCCGCGCGCCTGACCCCTGGGGATTCCTTCGGGAGAGAGAAGTGACTCGGCTCGACTCGCTTCCGACCCGTGATGGGTCTCGCTCCTCTGAAGCGGCCTTGTCACCCGTTCGGGCCCTTCCGCCGCTCTTCGGGCCTCTTCGGGTCGGCCCGACTCTGCGGACGCTTCGGACCGTTTCGACCTCTCGGACCGATAGGGGCCGAGGAAAAATGCAGATAAAACGCGTTTTGAACCACGATGACTTCTTCGCCGAATGGAAAAGCGTATCATTGACTATGAATATGACTTACATATGCGATAGAATGACTAAAAATCCGTTTCTTTTTTCCAGTAATGCTGTCAAGTGGTGTGATTACTTGCCACCGCGGTTTTATTCATTCTTCGTTTCACTGATCTCTCGTAAGCGATTAAAACTTCTTGTCTCAACTGTGTATCCTCTGTAAAAGAAATAATATTTTGTATTATCTCATATGGAATTAAATAATAAGAATTGCAGCGAGTTTGATTTCCCTCCCGATCGAAAGTTTCACGTTAAACGGGGAAGCAGAGAGGTGAATAAAAATCCAGGATTTTCGAGGATAAAGTAAATTAGACGCGCCCTTCTGAGAGGGGCGAAGTCGAGGACCAGCAAGATGGACTCGTGAGAAGATCTTTTGGAATTGGCCGAGTCCTCGCAGGGCCGCGACCCGACAGGATCACGCAAATCCCGGTCACTTTTATAGGGAATCCATCCCGGGGAGCGCCTTCTTTCCTTCGGGATCGCGCAAAAGGTCACCCTCGACCGGCAGCTGGCCCGACTTAACTTCGCATCGGAATTTAATTCTCCGTGAAATGAAACCGACTTGTGCACAGCGAGACTTGCGGGGATTTACGTGGTCGGATTTGCGGGGATTTCGGCGCGATCCTGTTCCCGGAACGGTTTCGGGATGCCTCTCGCTTTTCCCTTTTCTTCTTTTCTTTTCTTATTTTTATTACCTCTCGCTCTTTCTGATGCACCGGAAGACCGCGACGGACGCGCCGCACGACGTATCGACGACGCCCAGAAGAGGCGGCTAGATCACTGCCGAAATGTTTAAATGATATATTTATAATCACTTATAGATACAGCAGGCGTGACCACACAACGTTTACTTGCGATAGTTGTTATTCAATCAAAATAAAATCTGGCTGCTGGGCAAAAAATCCTGACATCTAAATATGAAAATCAGGCAAATCAGAGACTAACATTTATTGTTTAGGATAACAACATTGATTTGATTTTGGATTAAAAGATATTCGTAATTACCGAGGTCGTAGTCTCGTTTCATTAATATAAAATGGTGAGGACATGCACAACTTTGACTTTTAGGAGTTGCAACTTTTTCAATATACAGCGAATTTTAACATGACGATTTCCTCCATTTGCAAATATCTTTGTTAAACATTTTCTTTTACTAAAACAGGAGTGTTTAATTCTTTACGCAGAAATAAATTAAGAGGCTGAGGCTATGAATTACACTTGTGTGAGGATGAATCTCTCAATTATGGGTGTGGTGTTTCCACAGACTTAATTAATGGTTTAAACTTAAAGCTTTAATTTATAATATTTGAAATTTTAATATCCTTGCAGTTCAGAAGTGAACTGGACGGCCAGGCTAATTTGTAAATATATTCGAAATGGATTTTTTTTTAAATTAATTGTGTATCTATATACGGACTGTCATTACGTTTCGATGGGCACCTGTTTTCTGTTTTCCATTTCACGACCATGCACGAAACGACCACCCATAGTGGTCGATATTATAGCTTAGGGGCGGCGAAAACACAAGACCGCCTCCACACACGGAAGCCTTTATGAAACCAAGACGACCTCCATTTCGACTTTAACGACTCCTCGTAACTGCAAGAGGCGATCTCGAATCGTACATCGTAATTACTCGGTTGCTCCTATCGTATGATCGCGTCAGTTTCGAGTCCCCTGCATGATCGATAGCGGGCGAGCAAGTATAACGAATAAGCAGGTACCCAACTGCAATGTATTAAAATTATTCCTGCAAAACTTTCTGCATCCTTGTTTTAATTCTTTCCTTAATATCACCCTTAAAACGAGGATATTCGTAAGAAAGAAGATTTAAACATTGAAATTAAAATTATACCGCATGGTATAAGGGAACGTGAAAGATATGATAGTTTATTATTGTATTTATTAAATATTAAAATTAAAAGTGTAAATATCACATGTTCTGCCTAACAATTGATAGGTGGAATTTTTTATTAATGTTTTATCCGGAGTTTTGATCGTGCGATAGAATTTGTAAGACTCTCTGCAATTACAAGATGAGATTCCGTAATCGGCAATACTTAATGCGATCTTTCGATTAATAGGAACGCCGATCAATTCGATTTCACTCGTCTACGATCAATCGAACAGATCGAAACTGACGCGGAAATAGTCTTTGAAAACGCTAGATTAAATTGCTCCTCTGAGATCTTTTCATGTCATCTTCTACGGCACCTCGGAGACAATAACAACAGGTTTTGATTGATTTTTTTTCATTTCACGAACATTACATGAATTGATATTATCACTGATTAACTCGCCTGATTTGATCTGAACGTCACCGTTAATTCCATATTTAAGAATATTTTTTAACCCGAGCCATCCGTACGTGTACTATTTGACCAATTGTCGTAAAAAGTCTGATGATTGCACCCTAATCTCGGTAATTAAACGAGAAGGACGTCCTCGTGGAAATTGCATAACCGACATACTCCAATGTATAATCGAGTAACTAAACTTTTTCTTCCCATACGAACGTGTATTCTTTGGGGAGATCGCGCATCCGCTATCGAAGTATCCAAATCCATTAGATAGCCGGTGATAATAGAACGCACGCGAGCTGGGATCTTCCCGAACCAGCACACATCCCCTGCGTGATAGCATATCATTAGCAGCTGCGATCACCTACGAGCGGGGCCCAATGATATGCACGAACGATCTGATAATCCGGCATAATTCCTTTCGACACAAGCTCCATTTCCTTTTCCGTTCCCCCGCCCCCTAATTAATCATCCGAATTAATTATCCCGTCAGGTGCGGCCGAATGATCCAACGACAAAGTCCAATTTCAGAAAGCATGTATTTCTAGCGAAACATAAATCGATAGATACCGTATCGCCCTTGGTCGCGGCTCGATTTTCGAAAATCCCAGCTCGTGGCGAAGAGAAAAAGAAATTGATCTGGGAGAAAGAGAGACGTCATAGGGCATCGGCTCGATAATCGATCCGACGATCGATCACCGATCGACGGGGTGAAGGAAGAGAGAACGCGACCGTGATCGCCGGTTAAAAAGGGCTGCCCAGCTGTATACGGTATGGATTTATCATTTAATTTATTTTAAGTTAAAACTTCTCGTTTTTACAATAATATCTTACATTCATTTACACCGTCGCAATCTAGATACGCCTATCTCGCTCGCTCCTATTGCATGAAACCTCGGCTCGTCTCTCTCGCTGGCTTTCTCGCTCTCGCTCGCACTCGCATGGAAATCATATTTTACAGTCTACACACTACTCCCTAGTAATACTATATAGAATATTTATATATATAGGTTTTATATCAAATCTCTCGGTGTCTCTGTCCGTGTAATAATCCTGCGTGTGTCGGCGCCCCGCCCCCCGCCGAAGGCGTCCATGTGTGTGACAAAAAGTAGTGTTTGCGATTTTCGAAAATTCCAGCACGTCAGTCTTCCGGAAAATCGCAACTGCTCTCTCGCCGGGTTTCCGCGACCCCCGCGCCCCGGTTATCAGCGCCACTGATTACGGGGCGGGTAGTCGCGCTAAATTCACCGCGAGCCACAGAGAATCCCGACGATTAATTCGTAATCACACGAGAGGATCCTTCCCGTGAGCCTTTTCTGTTAAAAAATCACAAGTGCCCTCAAGAAGTCCCCCGTCTCTCTTTCTCTCCCTCTCACGGTCCCCTCGTGATAACGCGCGTATCTCCGTCTCTCTTGCTCCCGCCCTCGCCCCCGTCTATCGGTCTCACTCGCACTCCCATACTTCTTCGACTACCTAGTAAGTGTATTTTCTCAGTATCTAGTCGCTAAATTTATGCACAATCACTTATCCTCGAGGGTAAGATTACCATTACGCATAATGTTACGATAACGATACACAATCTTGAAAGATACAAAATTTACACGTGTATAGTTGCCCTTACACCTCCGTGTTCCTCCACTTTCTCTCTCTCTCTCTCTCACTTTCTCTCGCTCCTTATCTCTCTCTCTCTCTCTCTCTACATTTTGCACGCGCGTGCGCGTGTATTTATTCCATGGGTACGCGTGACTGTGTTATTTGACTAAGTACCGCTACATTTGTGTGGACGTGTGTCTTTATGTCTCTCTGTGTGTGTAGGAATAGGTGTCTGTGGGATTTTGCGTGTATACGTGTGTTTCGTATGTGTGTGTGGGTGTGTGTGCGCGCGCAGCGGCAACGATCGGCAATGGCAATCGCTGACGCACACTCGGAAATATAATTTATGAACTCTCTTATCGCTAACCGGTACAACACACGAAGCGTCCACGATCGACGGCCGATTCCTCGGCTCGAGATCGAAGTCGAATTTTGCGTTTCTTGAATTCTCAGATTTCGCGAGAGAAGGAAGAAACATAAAAAAAAGAAGAAGAAAAACCGACGGATTTTTTAAGTACAGATCACCGAACAAGGGGCGGTCTGCACACGTGGACGGAGGATGTATGGATACTGATTTTGGCCACGAAGGGAGAAATAGATGAGAGAAAATTAATTTCTCGGCTTTTCTCTCTCCTTTTACCTTAAACAGTTGCGCAACCTAATATGGCGAACTTTTTAACAGCAAGGAAGAGAGAAATAAATAATAACCCGACTATTCGCTTCGTTTCCTTTTTTCAGCTTTTACGAGAAAAGGACATTTTTTCGCAGGCTCCATATATCCTACGTCTATGTCTGCACCATGGATCCTTTAGATCCTTCCCGACCCTCAAAAGAAGTCCAATGTAATTATCATGGAAAATGTATCCAGCTTTGGATTTTGGATCATTCCTCAATTTTTTGGACCGCGGCCCCGAAAGTGCAGGAGAGAAAATCTCAGTTCACTTCTGTACTTTCAGTTTGCGCGAGTAGAACACGTGGGGGAATAAATCTGATTCCGAAATTTTACAGAAATCTGACTGAATAGTTAATTGTGGAAAAATGGTTTGAGCCTGTCGTATGTTTGATTTTCTAAGGGGAAAGGATTCCAGAATACCTGGTGACCCGTTTGGTAAAATCCAACAACGATTGGCCGTAATTCAGTATTAAATTTGATCGAGAATCCGAATACTTTGCGGAGGCAGCAACATGCAAAACTCGCTTCTAAGCTTCTCTCCAAGTGCAAAGATTCCGGCGGACGGGTCGAGGTCGATACGCATCCTTAAAAATCGGCTCCGCCATTTTCAGCTCGAGTTAAAGGAAGGAGGAAATGCAAGCTTAGATTTAAAGAACGAAACTAGCTTCGAGCCAAATCGGCGAGAACGACGCTTAAGGTACTGTCACACAGCGCGGAGGAGTCGCGGGCCCCAAAACGGCGGGATATGAAAAATGCTAAAATCGGCGAAAAATCGAGGAAAAAAGAAAATCGTCCGAATCGACCCGAACCCGCCCGGTGAAACCCCGAAGGAAAGACCGGCCGATCGTGTGCGCACATAAATCTCCGTAATTACGTTTAAATTGCACGATATTTTCAATTAGTGGTCTACTTTAGGGTCCGTCCTCGGAGGTGGCCGCGGCGCGGAGAATGAGAAACGAGGGTTAATTTCGAAACTAAGGGGAGGCCACGCTCAGAGAACACTTATCATCTTTTCCTTCGCCCATTAATTTCACCCTTAACCCCTAAACGTACGAATTTCGAGGAGTTAGTCCCGTAGCTACGAGACGACCAAATAAATACGACGATTTGGTCGGCCATATTGGCGAAGTCCTCATTCTCAGGAAATCTTAATGAATTATTAATCGGGGTAATTTCTCTGAGCGCAGGAGACGCATTCCTACGCGGGGTTTCATACCCCCTTCGGAAAGGATCCGAAGTCTCGTCTTGGACCCTCCGGGTTTTATCCTCGCGTCCGCAATTTGGGAATCCACGAGCGTGGGAGGAAGTGATAAGAAGTACCGCCGAAACGGGGTGCGGAAATGACTAAGAGGCGCGATCGAGGAATCGCGAGTCCTCCAGCATCCTGTGGCGCCGAGTGGCCTTTCGTATTTTCTTTCTTTTTTATCCGTCTTCCCTCATTTTCCATTTTCCTCCGGGCTTTTTTTCTCGCCTTTGGTCGGGCTATTCGGCTACGCTTTTACGGAATTAACCGAGAAACGCGCGGCCGCGTTTTCCGACCCGCCGCGGCGGACCTCCGAGCGAAGTGGGCGCTTTTCTCGCTCCCGTTTTCCCACTCAGGCGAGATCTCCTCGAGATACTACGGTATATTTACAGATATCAAGACTCGACACGACAGCTGACTTCGTTTGTACTTGGGGCCGGGGCTCGATGGCCCTATATATACTTCTTTACATATGTACAGAAAGAATCATCCGCGGCTCTCCACCTGCGCGCTCGCTCGCTCGCCGCGCTAAGTGTGTGTATGTGTGTATACCCTCTCAAACTGCATATGTACTGCATGCGAAATTATAAGTTTATGTCAGAATGGTGGGCTGCGTCCTGAGCTGCTCCTCGCTCGCAATTCATGTGTATTCCGATCGCCAGCCGGTCTGAAATCACGAAGAAATTTTTCGCTTTAACTTTGGGAATTCTTATTTCCTTCGTGTCAATGACGAAAATTATACTAAAACTCCTCGAAGTGCAAAAACCATTCTAGAATCTTGCTAAAGGTAATCTCCCCACTTAATGATTACTTCTTATCTTGGTTTCATTAACGCATCTATTCAATACCGCGTGAACTATAACATCATTAACAATGAGATCACTACTTATCGGTTCATTTCTTGAAAGGAAATAACGGCTCGGAAGAAAAAAATGAAAAATTCTTTAAATCCCATTAATTAGGCTGACGCTTCTAATATTACAAGCTAGACTTGAGAATAATGAGCAATTTAATTTTGACCTAAATCATTAAAGGGAATTAATAAAAATTATTTTAAAAAAGGCTCTCTCTGAGTTCAGCTATAAACATCATACGATTTTTCATTGAACTACTTATAAATTCTGGTGGAATGAAATATTAATATCGAATTGCGACTGATAGCTGGAGTATTCCGGTTTTTGGGACGGTGATTTTTGGCTGGGATTCCGATTAATTAATTAATTTTATTTATCGATAAGGGATACTTACCATGGCGTTCGTCGTCGCAGCGAGCTGGAGACCCTGAAGACTCGCCATGTGATGCGAATGCGAATGCGAGTGCGAATGGGGATGAATAGGTGGAGGCGCCGGAGGGGGTGCGAATCCCTGATGAAGACCACCGGTGACACCAACCCCCGTGTGGTACATGTAATGTTGCATCGCCGGATGCATCGTGTGATGATGCTGGGAAGTCCCTGCAACATTCGTAAAAAGGGTATTTTAATGATTGCTTCTGGTCCCAGAGATTCGTAAACAGCAAACATGACAAAATAATGACTGAAAAACTCTACCGCTCGGAATTAAACGGTAATTTTAAATCCCCAGCGTTTCAAAATCATAAATATTTATACGAGCTACCTTGGGCCTTTAAATAGTTTCAGAAGTTATCGGTAAATCTACGCGTTTTAACGTCCCGAGCATGCAAGTCGATACTGATGACTGGGAGTACGAAAACGGCGCATTAAACTTGAACCATAATTACCGGAACGTCCTGCCAAGTACTTTTTCAGACAGTAATTGAGCGATTTATAATAGACACATTATCTGCATCTATATAAGTACTCGGTCATTACGGGATGAATGAAATTTTCATTGACAAGAAACCTGGCCGTCCCTTCGAGTAGACTTGTCATGTTCGATACTTTATGTAGATGTTACTAATTTCCGGACATTTCCTTTTTTATGCAACTTCCGACATGAAGTAGTCGAGAGAAAAGTTGCATTTCCTTATGAATCGATATGACGATCTTTGTTATCGATATCCTGAAATTTTATAGCTTTACCTACTCTCTTGGGAATAGTCTTATATTTCTTTTTTTTTTTTTTGGAGGAAAGAGTTGGAATTGTTTTATGATTTTTTTAAATACTAACCCATGGGCGAGCCGAAGCCAGAGTGGAAAGGTTTGTTGTCCAAGTCAAGATGTGCACCAGCTTTCATCATGTCGCCCATGACACCTCCGAGCCCCAAACAGCCTCCAGTCTTCTTCTTTTTGCTCTTCGACGAGAGTTTTCGGTTCCTCGTCTGGATGCCCTCTTTCTTCATCGTCAATGGCCGGTTTACCTGCAACAATGAAAGACAACAATTCGATAAGGCGACCGAAGCGATGGAGGCAATCCTCGCAAAGATTCTCCTTAATGATTTTTTTCTTTTCCGGCGTTTTACTTCCAAAATCGAATATCACCAAGAGGACGCGCGTGTTGAAATTTAGAAATTGCGACATTAAATTTTGACTTGGGAATCAATGTTAAGCACAGGAGCGAATAATCGTATTGGCTTTAGTGATTGGAGTCCAGCTCAATCGATTACTTCCGCCTCATAACAAACAAGATCAAATTTCCAGGTTCGATTAAATATCTCTAAATAACACTCAGAATGGCACTACGACGCGTTATGACTGACAGTATCATTAATACAATCTTAAATGCGCGCGTGAAGAAAAAAAAAAAAAGAAGAAGAAAAAGAAAAAAGTAAATTAGTCTGTTTATTTCCACGCTTCACGGATTCCGCGCAACTTGGTGACTAAGGTCTAGAATATTTTAAGTACCCTCCCACCTCAATTTACGCGGTAAATGATAACACAATTTACGCGGTTTTTATCTCCAATTTATTTCCTATTGTACTGGCGGACTTTACGCGACTTTCATTCGCGTGAAACGAATCCACGTGGAACGGACTCAAAATGTCTAGCCAGTCTAAAACGTGTAAAACGTGAAGGTATAAACCCAAAGGCTAGGTCGTGTTAATCGTCCAAAATGTCTGCAAATGTCTAATCCATCTACCTGGGAAACGTGTATGAAACGCAAACGCAAACCCAAAACGCACGTTATCGTCCGCAATGCCGCCCGTTACGTTTTTCGCGGCGAGTTTCTCCAAATTCCCGCGCGGTCTTCTCCGCGCCGTGTTTACGGGGAATTCTCGAGGAGGCCATTATTCACGGCGTCATTGACTTTCGATTCCTCCCGGATCGAGTTCCCTCGATTCCCGAACGGCACGGTTAAGCACACGCAACCTCTTTACCGATTTTCCAAGCCACGGCGACAACGCCGTGGAAGTCGGCGTGACGCTCTCCGAGATTTACAGCTCGGTCGTGCGCGCGCACGGATATGAAAAATCCTCGCCAAGGATAGAATGGAGTAGGTTGGAACAACGAGGAGTGACGCAATCGGTGCACATGGCGGAAAGAGTCCTGGGACGGCTATCGAAGGATCACTAGTCATTACCAAAGAGACTTTATTTATTGGACTGATGCTTTGGGTGGAGCGCATTGAGGGATCAGCTGTTCGCCTTCGAATAGGAAAAAAACAAAAAAAAACAAAAAACCAAAGGTAAAGGCGGATGATCGGCATTAATGATAATAACAAATCCGTAACAATGATCGCTATTGTCGTGAATCCTAGATCCCTCAACGATAGGGATCCTCGTTATAATATTAAAAATTTGAATTTCGCGCCAAATGTGTATGTGAGTGTATGCGTTGCAGCATAGTGATGTTTCGGAAGGCAGAGGATGAGTCGAGAGGAGAACTTCCATGGGAGAAGTCCTTGTAGGATTTGCATTATCGGCATTCTGTAGATCTAGTTTAGGAAGAAGAAATTTCAATATATTAATCCTACGTGATAGTAAAGTTGGAATTTTTTGGGGGGGTTCGCAACGTACATGTCCATTTTTTTTTTTTTTCGAGATAAGTGTAAAGAGTCCGGGTGGAACGTGTCCTTGGAAAAATTTCGCGGGATTTACAACTTCAAGGGCAGTTCCCGATTAAGTTGGTGACAAGTCGAGGAACGAGTTTAACGAGTAAGGTACACGAGTGCATCTGAAACGATTTCCTGTTCGGATTAATTGCGCTGTAGCCTGTCAAGATTACGTTATCATTTCCACGAGGTTTGGTGTCTTCATCCATGGGGAAAATCGTACCGCACTTTCTTGATATTAATATCGAGGCGAATGCGATTTGCATATCGCATATGCAAATGCAGGAGATGTTAAATGAGAGAAGTGCAATTTAGAGGTGAGTTAACCGAACGACGATAATGTCCTATCGATGCGAGGAGGGAACTGTCGATTCGAGAAATTCATCGCCAGGGGATAATCGCGATGGTGGAACAATAAGAAATAGCGGTGATAACGAAACGCATCCAGCCTCCGCGGAGAGCGGACCTCATATTTCTTCGGAAACGACTTTACCGATCATCCTCGAAAGTGATGTCTATCGATGACGCAATGCGCGCGCATCGCTTTCGCGGATCTCGCGGAGTGCATCGACGAAAGCTGCATCTAATCGATGACATAATAATTCTCCGCCGGTTTCGAAGAACCGCTCCTATAGGATTCCGATGCTTTCTCAATTACAAATCGTTACAAGGTACTTAAGTCCTGGCGGCGAGATTGGCATACCAAACCTCGTTACATACTGAATTAGAATAAAAATAATAATAACCAAATTTTAGATCCAATCGTTTCACGCTGTCAACCGTATCAATAATTTCCCGGGAATTTTTATAACCCTAGAATATATTTTCGAGATCCATACACTGGGTTGGCTGCACTTATATAATAAGTACATTCAAGTTCCGCGGAAATATTCTTAATGAAATTCTATTAAAAATTGAAAAGTTACCTAGAATTCCGTACAGTATCGCGGAAATGGTTATTACAGTGAAGTGATTATTCCTGGGGGGAAATATAATGTCAAGGAATAATGTAACAAGAAATGTTCCATGAAGTTGTAATGAATGCATTTTATGTGGTATATATATATTTTTTTTTTAATAATCGCGGAAATATCCTGCCGGTTTCGACGGGGTTCTCCGAGAGCAGATGAGCGAATCGCTCGAGGGAAGTAAAAATAGCAAGTCGGGAGGAACAAAATGGAAATAAAAGCGAGAGCGTCGCGACACGAGAGGCCGAGAAACGGCGGGGTCCGGGAACGAGCAATGGCCAACGCAATTAAGAAATCTCGCGGATTCCGGGTAATCCAGTGCACTGTTGCGAGGATGCAATTAACGAATCGACAGTCCCCTCGTGCAATTCGAGGCAGCGCGTCATCGCGTTCCAGTTCGTCCCGAAGAAGTGACGGAAAGATGCAGCGACGCGACCCGACGCAGATGCACCGCCCCGCAATGGATGCACCGCATGCACTTCCCTCTCCCTCTCGGTTAATTACTCCCGCGGCGCGACCTTTTTGCAATCCACCTTTGGCAATGAAAAGTGCCCTCATGCGTGGCGAACAATTTCTTAAGAGAGGCCTTCACAAAACGCATTAACGATCCGCGGCTAAAACGGTGAAAGTTGCACGCACGCCGAGCTCGGGCGCACGCGCCAAACCGCAACGCGATCGCCGGTGCAAGGCGAGTGCCTTCCAAAATAACGAACACAAGAAGAAATAATAATCTCGCCCTTCATTAAAATTCCCGGCCCCAGAGATCATTTTTGACGGTGGCAAAATAACATTCCTCCGATTAACAAGATAGGATCCATTGTCGTTCCTCGGCATTGCACTATCATTATAATTGATTGCTCCTATCGACTCTCTGAAAACGGAGAATTCGCGAATGAACAACCTTTTGAAATAGAAATAAAGGTACGATGAAGACCGCCCGCGATGGAATTATCAGTGCACACCGGTATGGCATCAGGTGCAATTCACAACGTGTAGCGAGATAGGAAACGCCACGTTATGAGGATTAACGAGACGCGTTGAACGATCGATAGAAAAACTCCATTAATAAAATATAAGGCTTAGCATCCGGGGGATAAAATTCCGAGCGAAGGGATGCACTCGGCGCGAAAGCGCACGGCTCGTCAGGCGCCATAACTGCACCGCCTTCGCGCCCTCGCAATTGGCATTCCACGGAGTCCCGGGGATAAATCGAAGGAAAGCATGAATATTCAAGGGAATCGGAGATCGCGAAAAATGGCGAGTGGCCCGGCGCCGGTTCCCGGCAAGGACCGTTGGAGTTGCACAAAGGCGCCGGGGATGCGCTGGAGATGCGCCGGGGATGCACCGGCTTCCGGCGGGCGCGCTCGGCTAATTCGACAAATTCGGCCAATTGCATAATTCCGAAAAGAGTCGTTGACCGTCTGGTCGGCTCGGCTTTGCGTCGCCGGGAGGCGCGGGGGTCCCGAAGGAGGAAGAGATCCCAAAGGAGGAGGCGAGACGGAAGATGAGGGGGGAGGGACCCTCCCCGGCCCGCGCGTGGCGATCCCCCCTTCGGCTTGATAATACCGGGAACCTTTTCCTCGAGTTGGCAGTTGGCTCACGTCGCGGCGACTACAAAGTCCCGCCAACTCCCCCTGACCACCCCCCTGCACACAATACTTGCATACCTACTTATTTCGTGCTTAAGTATTGCACGCTGCAGGCGCTCGCGCCGTCGCCGCGACCGCGAATGCCCGAGAGGCCGACTCGCGCCCACGGATCGGATGACCGGTACGTGGGTTCTCGCGCGAGTAAGCGCGAATAAAGCGCGAGTGAGCGCGAATAAAATAGAGTAAGCGCGAATAAAGCGCAAGTGAGCGCGAAGAAAATAGAGTAAGCGCGAATAACGCGCGAATAAAATAGAGTAAGCGCAAATAAAACGCGAGTGAGCGCGAATAAAATAGAGTAAGCGCGAATAAAGCGCAAATAAAGCGAATAAAATAGAGTAAGCGCGAATAAAGCGCGAATAAAATAGAGTAAGCGCGAATAAAGCGCGAATAAAGCGCAAATAAAGCGAATAAATTGAGTGAGCGCGAATAAAAACGATTTAGCGCGAATAGAATAGAGTAAGCGCATGTAAACATGGATAAGGCGCGAATAAAGCACGGGTAAGTGCGAATAAACGCGAATAAAGCGCAAATAAAGCGCGAGTAAAATAGAGTAAGCGCAAATAAAGCGAATAAAATAGAGTAAGCGCGAATAAAGCGCGAATAAAATAGAGTAAGCGCGAATAAAAACGATTAAGCGCGAATAGAATAGAGTAAGCGCATGTAAACATGGATAAGGCGCGAATAAAGCACGGGTAAGTGCGAATAAACGCGAATAAAGCGCGAGTAAAATAGAGTAAGCGCGAATAACACGC